TAGAAGGTTCGAATTAGGGTCAACAGTTTAATTACAACAAGATCGGTGAGCTTTCTAAAATCAATTACACAGCTTATTGTGTGTTTGTGATGAGTTGTGGGTTTCCTCTCTCGGTTCCGTTTTCTCATCCTGCCTTCATCATTTCTTTCTTCCCCAACTTGTTTTTTTCCCTTACTTTATTAAAGCGCAGAGAGACGTTAAAGTGCAGTATTAAGGAAATGAAATGATTTGCGATTGCTTATAAATTATATGGGGCGAGAGTCCGGGGGCCGCGTGTAAAAGTTTTTCGAGCTCGTCCTCCGCATCTTCTCCGGCTCCTTTTTATGTGCGAGCGTCCGTAAAAGGCCTTATAAACCTGTCACCGTTTCCGAAAAAGCTTTTTGCAATTATCTCCCATTAGCTTAGGTTGTAATTTAAGTCGCGCTTAATGCATCCAACACACTCACATCTTCACATCCTTTCATACATGTATATAATATATATATAGAAGCATCATGCACCCACAAATTTACGATACATTAATAAAAATGAGGGATACGACCGTAATCAAAAATTATACACGGCCCTTCCTTCGTTTTCCACGAATTTATTAATTGAATTCCACTGCTTTTCTCCCACAAACAACCATCATTTCCACATCGATGTATCCGCGAGCTTCGGTTATTGGAAAAATCAACCGTACCACAATTTGCTTTGTTTTATTTTTATCTCTCTTTCTCTCATCAGATGCGATGTGTACGAAAGAGCATTAGTCAAGTTTCGGCAGTACGTTGCAAAACGAAGTTTTGAAAACAAGCCAAAGTTCTACAACACAATGTACGTGATATCTGCGGAAGGAAACTTCACACGTGCGAGCCACTTTAAATGGCTTTGCCTGAAAATAATTCCCAAGGCACGAACAACTCGAATATAACAAAAATACTAACAAACATAATAAAGAACACCTAGTTTTCTTCATTCCCTTCTATAATATCAAACGAAAGGATTTACACAAATTATAACTTTGTATTAGTTTTATAACTCATGTAAAATTATTGAAAATTTCCTTCAGAATCGTAGATAATGAATTTTGATATTCATAAAAGTACATTCATTTTTATTAATTTTAATTCAAGAAAAATTATGAAATGACAAAGATTAAATAACTTTAGATTAATTTATGTAAATTTGTTACTGAAAACTTTATTAATTAATTTCTCTCTACGAATCAAAATATATCTTTTATATCTCCTTTACATTTTTTTTTTCAATCAGAAAAATAATTAAATAAGAAATTGTAATTGTATGACAGTAAAACTGTACTAACAACTTTAATTACATTGAAATTGTTGGTAATTGTATTTATATTTTTTTTTTTGTAATGTTTCAAAAAGTTACAAGTATTGCTTCAAAATATTTATTTAATAAATGTTTACATCTGAAATATAAACTTTTACGTTTTGAAACAACTTGTCTCATAAATAAAATAAATTTTCATATTTTAAAAATTTCCCATACTTTTTAATTTTATTATTTCTCATATTTTTTTCACAAAATCTTTTATTACACAATTTTTCCTCTCCATTTAAATTTGAAGAAAATATTAAAGTCTAAAGTAGATGAATATTATTATTACATAGTACATTTTTTTAATTCATAATTTATGGATATTGGCGAATACAGAATTTCAGATTTCTGTAGAGCTTTTAAAGCAAATGTTTGAAAGTTGTCCGGAATGCATTCAAATGAAGGCCGCATCAGATATGCCGGGTTATTTTCAAGTTTAATTATTAATGTGAAAAAATCTGTGACTCAAAGGGGAAAGGGCGAGCGACGAATATGCTGGTGCACTCTACACTTTCCACATGGCTCTTGTTAGATTTCTCACCGATTATCCGAGCAGTAAATCATCCGCGTCTCAAGTGCAAGTGTTTGATAAAAAAAAAGGTTAAAACCAATAAGACCTGAGTGGCAATAATAATAATAATACAAAAATGAGTGCTCAAAGATAATTATAATAGAGTGTTTGTCCCGTTAGACGATGCTATGCATATACGGGAGAGCATATCGTGAAATCATAATTAAATTTCAAAATCAACGTTTATCTCCCGACACTGTTCACAATTTTTTTTTCTTCTTCGATCCGTTCCTCCTGACTTGCAGTGGTATCGCGTCTTTTACACTTGCTTTCTTTTTAATCCCGTCCTAGGAGTTTATTAACTCAGTCACGATTAGAGGCACATATAAATTGTTGTTGCCGGTGCGAATACAATAATTTCAACGACGAAGACAGATATTCACGAATCGTGACATCGATGTTGATTCCAATCCTCCGGAACGTAACGGCTCCGGCGATATCGGCTTCGACTTCGGCAACCGAGGAAATAATTACAAAAAAAAAGGATGAACGAAGCAGATGAGATGAGCTGCAATGCCAGTTCTTCTGGAACAAATAGAAATGTGATGTGCTGCATAGATGGACATGGGTTTGTGGTGGTTGCTCCAGGCCAAGTACAGCTACTATATCTACTATAAACTACTACTGCTGCTGCTGCACTACATACATATGTAGCTCTTCCCATCCCAGATTTTGAGTGATGGCAGTGGCATTAACAGGTTTGCATACGGAATAATCCCCGCGGGGTCTGAACCGGGTATTTATGCTGCCGTAAATTTATTTCAGCTCTGAGGAATTCATCATCCGGCGAAACCGAAAATATCCCAGTCCAGGATCGGATACGTATGTAACTGTAGAAGTTAACATGTCGTGGAGTGAGAGTTTTATGCCAAATATCGCGGCGGGCGGCCAAAAGCCTAAGCCACAAACTAAGACGAAGAACAAACTTATTACTACAGGATCTCAGCGTGTGTTTTGTGTGTGCTTGTGGGTCTGCGTCTTGGGGCCGTTTAGAAATCCATTACAGACATTCTGGACCGTTCCTCATCATTCTATTTTTACTTCTTTTTTTATTGTATTATGCTAAGTTGCAGCACAGGTCGATTTTCTTAATTTTTATTACCAATTTCTTATTTTCTTTATTACCTTGATTAACATAATTAGTATATAGAATACATGTATGTCAATAATAATATAATTTATCCATTAAACATACTTAATAATTTATAAAGAAATAAAAATACTGAAAAGTGTTGTTTTTACACGGTTAAAAAAATAGGAAAATTTCTGTTAAATATAGAACCAAATCATTACATCTACTCCCTAGTCATGTATATAATTAGTGGAACACCTTTACAAATAATATTAAGTAAACTAATAATACTAAATTATAGATAAATAATTACGAATACTGAAAAGAAATCGTATTGATAAATTAATAATAATTAACCTAAACAAGTCCAAGTCCCGTCACTTCTCCCATTTCCTAGCTAATTTCCTCTAACTTTTATTATGTCTAATAATCCTAGCACTTCTCCCGATCTCGTTATCTGCTCTTCCAGTATCCAGTCCCACATCAAGAACCTTGATGTTGTTCCTGACCTTTGTTCCGATTACCTGGCAATCCAATTTGTCTCCTGTCTCCCTATTAAAATCCCTCCTTCATATGTCTGCTCTAAATAAATGTGATATGTCTATTGTTAACTCCAGTCTTCTCTTCTTCATTTCCCAAATTCGGAGATGATTCCTGGAGAAGGGAATCATCTCCGAATTCCATTCACTTATGTCATCCACGGTTATTCAGAATTCCCTTCAACCCTACGTCCTTCGATTATTAAAAAAGAAATGACAACTTTATCGATAAATAAAACAAACTGAGGACCGAAATTTAAAAATTATTTTCAATGAACTAAATAAATCCATTCAAAAAATAGTTCGCGAATTAGAACAGTAGAACTTCGCTTAATGAGCACCTCGCATAACGAGCATCAATTTAAAGAAAAATGACTCTCTTAAAGAGCAATGTTTTGCATAACAAGTGACAAACAGAAGTCCCGGATTGCGCGCCTTATACATCATTTTTAAAACTTGTGTATACTATGGGTATTTTTAAATAAGTTTGACTTTTATCACAAATTTATCTTACAATTCTTCTTAATAAATAACTGATTTTGTATATTTTTTTCACTAAAAAATTCAATTGTTTTAATACAAAAATATTATTAATTTCATATTAAATAATTTTTTCTAAATTATGATAAAATTAAATTTATTCTGGCTCAAATTAGAACCAATAAAAAATAATTATTAAACTTTTATAAATAAAATTTCTATTTTCATAATAATTGAAGAATCTTTGAATAAATGAGATATGTATATTATTAATTTGCATAGATCTTCTATCATACGTCAAGCAATAATCAACTTATTTTACATAGATGTTTCATATTTTATGTTATATAATAATTGTAGAAGGATCGAAGAACATCGTTTCCACGTAGAATACATTACAAGCACTTTGAAATTAAATAATTTCAGAGGCGATGGGAACTCTTGACTCGCGGCATTCCCCGTTACGATAATAACAAATAGTTTATTTTGCGTAGACTGATTTGCATATTAATTATAACGTGCACGAGGTTTAAATATTAACCGGACAAAACGCCAAACCTCCGCGCAAGGAACGACTAATAATGACAATAATCAAAAGATATCCGCTTCGAAACTTTCCGAACTAATTTTCTTAACTACTTGTTAAAAACCAAACAAACAAAATTTACATACATGTTTGTTAATTAAAAAATATTGCATAAAAACAATGTTAAATTATTTTTCATTTATCAAATAATTTTCCAAAGAAAAAAATCAAGAATTCTTCGAAAAAGAGAAAGTTCAATTCCATTTATTTGATTTTGTAGTTACTCTTTTATTGCATTTTTCGAGTACCTGAAAAGGGTCAAGTAATAATGCAAAATATTATTTATTGCTCCTTCCCACCACCGAAATCTAGGCTCCGAATAAATAGACGTTGTGAAGTACAGTGTTTTCATAGTCATTCGACAAGCAATCGTGATAAGATTAACACGCGTACTTCAAGAAGAATTTAGTTGAATTTATTCTGAAAATGTTTTTTTACGCCGTTCCCGAAGAGTCGTGCAGATGCTCGACAGTGCGCATTTTGAAGAATTTTACACAAGAGCTAGTGCTCTCCAAGAAACCCGCGATGAAAGGCAAGAAATTATCTGAGTATGTTAAAAAACTTTTAGATTTATCAACGAAGCAGCACGATTCGAAAAAACTGAACGATTCGATGTATCTGGATAAAGAAGAGATGAAAAGATTGATTCGAGCAAATTTCGAAATGGATCTTAACAAAAAGAAACCAGATAAGATTAATCACAAGGAAGCTGTGGCCAGTACACCTACAAAATCTAAACAAAACGTAGCCGAGTTTTTCGAAAACTTTGAACCACAATCGGCGATCAAGAAGAAGCCTGTGAAAAAAATCAATTTAGAAAACGATTCAAGCATCAATTCGTATTCTGAAAACAATAGTGAAAATTCGCCGCAGTTCCATAATGAAACTAAGAGTTTGTTTCCGTGGGAAGAGTTTTCTGAGGTTTTCAAAAAGTTCCCCGGTGTTACTCCCAGACCACATCTTGACCTAAAAGCTATTAGGGAAAGAGTCGAGTTGCAGTTGAAGATGGAATTCAAGGAGCAAGATGAGCAGTTCGAGCGAATCACAAAAAGGCATTTCGATGAATTGGATATAGAAAGAGCTACCAGTTTTATAAAAAGATACTCTTCCATCAAAGATGATTCCGGAATTATCAACAGAAGTTTTCTGGTATGTAGTAAATTACAAAATCAAAATTCTGGAAACGTAAGCAATTTTACGGAGAATATATCTACGAATCAATCAAATTATTGCTATTGCATCGATTGCGCTAATGAAGATTCTGGAATGTTAAGTAGCAATGGCTTAGAATGCACGAATTTAGAAAACCAAATATCGAAATACTTAACGGAACCGCAAATTGACATTAATGAACTGAAGAGGAGAGTTAATTTGAAAATAAAATTGTTACGTAAAGAGGATGAGGATGAGGAATCTAAGAAAAGAGAGCTATTTAAAAGGAATAATATTTCGAGTTCTGCGGAGGTTCACAAAAGCAATACACCGAAGAAGGATGATTCAGGAAACTTCAGTTTTTCGCACATCGATCTTCCAAAGACAAAAATTTTAGAAGTTGAGACTTTCGAATTTACTGAGAAACTGAATCTAAATGAAACACCGTTAAAGGATGATTCAGGAAAGTCAATTTTTTCGAACATAGATATTCCAGAAACAAATATTTTGGAAGTTGAGACGTTCGAATATTCTGAAGAATATGAGAAATTTGATAAATCTATTGAAATAGAACAAGATCAATACGAAATGGAAAAAGAACTAAACGACAGTGAAGAATCTACAATTCTAATGGAATTTGATGGAAGTAGAAGAGAAGAAGAAATATATTATCCAAGGTTGACCTATTTGGAAACTATATTTGAAGAAAGTTTTGAATCTGTACGTTCAGTGAAGAACCGTTTCGAACCAGCCAGTCAATCGCAGGATAGTGCAAGTGATGATTTATCAACGAGTAATGAAGAAGAGCAAATTAATTCAATTAAAGAGATAAGCCAAACTTCTTCAATATTCCACATTGTGGACGAAACCAAAAGTTTGTTTCCTTGGGAAGACTTTTCTGAAGTTTTCAAAAAGTATCCAGGCATAACACCTAGACCGCATCTTGATTTAAATTCAATCAGGAAAAAAGTCGAAAAGCAATTGAAGGTGGAATTTAAAAAGGAAGATGAACTCTTCGAGATTATTAAGAACAGATATTTCGAAGAAAAGGACATAGAGAGAGCTAACAGTTTTATTAAAAAATACTCTTTCATGAAAGATGATTCCGGGATAATCAACAGAAAAAATTTGGTATGTACAAAATTTAAAATTGAAGATTCCGGATACGTAAGCAATTTGTCTGATAATCAGTCATTGACAGAGGAAGATTCTTGCTTTTGCATTGATTGCACCAATCAACATTCAAAGATGTTAAGCAATAACATTTTAAAATGTACGAATTTGGAAAATCAAATATGTAAATACTTGAAAGAATCATACATTGATATTAACGAGCTAAAGAGGAGGGTCAATATTAAACTGAAAATGTTGCGTGAACAAGATGAAGAATTTAGAATAAAAGAATCCTCTAATATAAGTGAAACTATGGAAAATGACGATTCAGGAATTACCAGTTTTTCGCATATTGATCATCAACAGACAACTCCAGAAAATCAGACAATGGACAATACCGAAGTCGATGAGAATCTCAGACAGATAGAAGCAGAAAATGATAATTATGCAGATTCCGATTCGGAAGATTCATTAAATTATTGTGACGAATCTGATTTCAATGAAGAATGTACAAGATACGAGGAATATTATCCGAGAAGAAGATTTTTGGAAACGATATTTGAAGAAAGTTTTGAATCTGAGTGTTTGAATGACGATTGGGAAGAAGAATTATGCGACGATGAAGTATCTCAAATCGTTGAAACTCTAAATGAAGAGGAATTTGTGTCAAATGGACAAAGTAGAAGAGAAGATGAACATTATCAGAGAATGAAAAATTCAGAAAACTTTGATTCTGAAAGTTCATTGTTTGATAGTTTAGAGTATGTAATTCAATCTCAAGAAGATAATGCCATAAATGAATCATCAAATGTAACTAACCACGAAGTGATTGATTCAACCATCCATTTGGAAACTGAAGATGACAGCCAATTCTCAACGCAACCAAAAAGTTTGTTTCCTTGGGAAGAGTTTTCTGAAGTTTTCAAAAAGTTCCCTGAAATAACGCCTAGATCGCACCTTGACCTAAATGTAATTAGGAAGCGCGTAGAGATTCAATTAGAATTGGAGTTTAAAAAGGAAGGTGAGTTATTGGAAAGGATTAAGAAGAAGCATCTGGAGATTACAAGAGCAAATACTTTTATCAAAAAATACTTTTTCATTAAAGATAAGTCTGGAACAATCGACAGAAGTAATTTGGCATGTACTAAATTCGCTGATAATGTTTGCTTTTGCACTGATTGCCTTCAAGTGATATCTGGAATGAAAAGCCTGGAAGACACGAATTTGGAAAACAATATATCCGAGTACTTAACACAACTAAAAATTAACGTTTATGAATTAAAAAGGATAATTGATGTTAAACAAAACATGTTACGCGAAGAAGAAGAGGAATTTAAGAAAAAGGAGCAGTTTGAAAAAAATAAGTCAAAGTCTTCGGCAATTGACTATTCTAATATAACCCAATTATCGTATAATGATGATTCAGGAATATCTAGTTTTACTCAAATTGATCCGATTAAAAGCGAACATCATTCCAATAAAGTTGAATTTGATTTAAACGGCAAATGCAGAAGAGCCGAAGAATATTTTCAAGTGACGAATATTTTGAAACCAAAAATTGAATCAAGATCCGAGTCGGAAACATCATTTTATGATAGTCTTGAAGCAATCAATGAGTCGCAGAAAAATTGTAACAATACAGAGTCTTCCAAAGTAAATAATAAAAATGGTGCAAAGAAAAGAAACATGCATTTGGAATTGGCGATTCTACAAAAATTGCATGAAATAGAACGAGAGGAAAACCACGAAGCTGCTAAGAGATTGCTAAAGAATCCGAACAATTGGAGCTTTGTAAATTTGAAATATAAATTTCAGAGTATGAGAGAGACTTTGGATTTTACAAAGTTAACATTGAATCAAATTAATGATAATTTTAATTAATGATGAAATATTATTGTTGTGTATATTATGTAAATATTTATGTATATATGTATTTTTTTGTAATATAATAAATATTATAATTTAATTAAAAAAAAACTCTTATTTTCATTTTATTTAAACTTTCCTACCTTTCCATATTTAGTGTATATTTTTTTAAATTTATTTGTATCATTTTCTTACCACCAAGTTTAAAACAATTTTTTCTCAGATATTTCCATTAAATTAATGATATTTCAATATTTTTTTTATAATATATATTTCAGATATTTTTTTTAATAAACAACAGATATAAGTAATAATTATTTAATTTACAAATGCAAATAAAAATCAAATTTTATTTTAAGAAACGTTGTAAAATTCATGAAAATTTTTAACGATATATTTATATCTGTTAAAGTAATTATTATTTAATTAAATACATTTCTTTCTGTTTTAGCTCAACTTATCTTCACTTTTATTTTGAATTGAATACGTTAAATTTATTTAAATCTAGTCACAAAACAAATTGAAACAAATGTTTTGAGACAATTTATAGCTAATTTCAAGATTTATTTATGTCTTGTTTACATTTAGTTTTACGTAATTAAAATGTACTTTATCTAAGAGATTTATTACATAACTAGTCGCCATCATTTCAATTTCAATTACAATATTTTTATTTTAAATATAAACAATGTTTTTTTGTTTGTTTTAATCTGTTTCTTAATGTTGATATAATGATACAGTAATTCTTTGAAATTACGTTTCAAGCATTATTTAACTTGTTTACAAAAATTCCATGATCAATACAAATACAAACATTGTATAACATTTCTTTTCCGAAATTTTATTTCAATTTTAAAATAATTGGTTACAAATGTATATGTGAATCGTTGCTGTCGAAACTGTATTGGAGAGGAAGCACGCAGTAAATCCGTTTAATGCAGAAACACTAATAGCTGAGTGGATATTATGCATATGTAGGTTATATAATGCGGTAGACATGAACTGCATCTGCAGTAATGCATGTGCGTTCAATGCAATAACATAATTAGTAATATAGCATTCGGTAATGTTTGATTATCATGCGAATATTGAGGGGAGGCATCCATTAATCTGCTTATTTGCACAACAAACTTATTCCGATGTTTACAACCACCCTCGTAAACGCAGGAAGCACTAATTGCACTTTGGGTAAATGTATTCAGTAAGCTGAGTTACTGTAAAATAAATATAAACAAACACATTAAAATTACATTATTATTAGATTTTTTAAAAGTTTATTTGTAGCAAAAGTTTTCTTTTATAAACAACAAATTTCCAATTGAAAGAAATCAAACTTTTCGTTTCAATATTGTGTAAACAATCTTATCTTTTAAAACGTAAACAACACTAATTACGTTTTGGTCTAGAGTCTAGACTCTAGACTCTAGAGTCCTAACTTAATCTGTAAATAACATAAACATCATTACCCCCTCCGCTGAATTTCAGTGCATTACCTATATTTATTTTCAGATTTTCAGTAGGTAGAAGAAAATTGTTAGTAAACGTTTACGCAGCAAAATGTTCAGGTTCATCGAAGAAGTTCATAAATACCAAGACAATACGATTTGTCCGTGTATGACGGTACGTGATATAAGACAATTTACTAAGAAGATAGTGGAAGAAAAGATGTTGGGATTAAAATGTGTCGAGTTAACAAGATATGTGAGTAATCTAATGGATAAATCGGCGAAGCAGTTCGGACGCGCAAAGAGGAACAGTACTTTGAAGCACAACAAGGCGAGGATCAAGAAAATAATAATGGCCAATTTCGAAAAGGATTATCCTGATACAACAATTAATATAAACAATGACGAAGTCTATAAAGTAATCATTGAATGCACAAACGAATACAAATCTACGGAGAAAACAGTGTGTAATGAAAAACCAATTGTAGAAAATTCAAACTTACTACTTATGCAATCACTCAGTGTTTCACTCGATTCAGGAATTGATGATGATAGTTCAATAGAATCTAGTGAAAATTCGTTTATATTGAATGATCAAACTAAATTAATCGATAAACATTGGGATTTTATTATTAATACTGAAAATTTGATTGATAAAATTTCACTACAAACACCACCAACTTTTTTAATATACAATGAAGTAGAAACAACTAATTTAGTAGATGAGAAAATGGAAAAATTCAATGTGAATGAAACACTAGAAATAAATAATGTGCCAGTAATTTCTTCCAATGATTTGGAAATGATAGATGATCTGGATGAGAGTTTGAAGAAGAAATTTCAGGAACAAGATGTTCTCCTTGAGAAACTCAACCTTCAGAATAATCAGTACAAAAGGAGGCTTGAGAATATGGAGGTTTCGAAAAGGCTGCTGAGGAATAGCAACAACGCGAGTTTCGTAAAACTGAAACTGAATTATTTGGATGCGCTTGATACATTGGAAATGCTGAAATTCTCAGTAAAACATCGAATTTTAAATATTACAGATATAAAGTAGTAATTTTCTTGTTAATTATTACTTTTTGAATATGTGATTTTAATATTTAAGCAAAAATAGCTATTAATAATTTATAAATGTAATTTTATGTTATGTAAATAGACTTGTAAATACAAATAAAATAATATTTATTAGAAACATTTCTATTCAATTTCCCATACAAAAACTATGATATTAATATTTATTATATAAGCACTTATTTATATTGTAAATCTTATTACTAATATATAAATCAAAACAAGATAAAAATAAGTTTTATTGTTAATCTTTAATAGTTTCGAAAAAAAATATAAACGTTTATAAAATTAACTCAACTTATACTTACATTTTATTAAATTTAAAAAAAGATAATCTATATTTATTTACAGAATATCAAAAACTAAAGCCTATGAAATGTTCAGAAGCAACACAATTTGTTTTAATTAAATTTATAGATTACTTTTCTTTACTTTTTCTCATCAGAAGGAATCCTGAAAATGATGATCGGGAAATAAAAATAAAGTGTTTATTATTTAATTTTACTTTATTAATCAAACCATATATTTCAAGTTCAATTTTAACATTTCTAACCTATCCTGAACATTTAAACATTTCTGCTTCAACTTTACAAAACTCGCGTTCTTGCTGCTCTTCAGAAGTTTCTTCGATATTTCATTACTTTCAATCCTCCTCTTGCTCTGGTTACTCAGTAAATTGCTCTTCTCAATCAGCTTGTATTGGTTCTCCTTCAGATATACATCCAAATCGAATATTATTTCTGCCTCATCAACAGAGCTAATTATGTCAACTAGCAAAATCTCAGCGAAACTCTCAGGTTTCAATTGGGACGTTATTCTATCATAACCATCTTTTATAATAATTAACGATTTCCAATGTTTGTCAATTAATCTGATTTCCTCATCGATCAATTCAATTCTCGAATCTTCAGAGACGTTGAGCGGGTCCGGAAGCTCTAAGGATCTTAAGTTCGATTTTGGGAAATCCCTGAGAATCTTAATCCAATTATCTAACAAATGATTCTCCTTAGAATTGGATTGATCCAAGCATTGAACTTTATCCTTCGTGAAATCGGGTTTATCTTCCTCGTTTATAATAGACACTTTGATTACCTTCTTGGGTAATTTATACTGATACATGGAGTGAAAAGTGAGATCCCTTACTTTATCGGAATAGTCTTTTTCGAAATTATCCTTGATGACTTTTTTAATCTCTACTTTGCTTTGTTTCAAGGGAGCATCCCATTCCGGAAAACCGTACTGCTTCGCTGATCTCTCCATCAGCTTACTCACGTATCTGGTTAAATCCACACCTTTCAATCCAAGCATCTTTGCTCGCACCATCTTCTTGGTGTAACGCCTCAACTCCCGGACTGTCATGCAAGGACATACCTTGTTGTCTTTGTACTTGTGAGCTTCTTCAATGAATCTGAACATCTTGGAATGTTGACTGCTAATGAATTGTTATTGTTTGTTCGTTCTTTATTTATAAGAAAACTCTACAAATCAGGTGGTAAAGTTCGGGGTGGGGGTATTTGTGTAAATATACAAGTACATTTTTTTATTGGGGTACAATTAAAAAAGATTAGTAATATATCATTATCTCGAATATACTTACATGTTTTTTTTTTCTAATTTACAACAATAGTTAGTGAATGTTGAATTCAGTTATTTCATAAAATATGCGTTTTATGAGAAGTAAATTAAGTTCATTAGGCTGAGTACATGCTGAAAAGTGTAAATTATTTGGATCAATGCGTTTCCATTTCCGTTTTGAAATGCGAATGTCGCAGGATTAATGTTTGTTCAGAACCGGTGCGACTTTTCAATTAAAACCTGAAAACCTCCCTGAAAAAAAAAAGTAAAAAAGCAACGAGTCCAAAGAGAAACCAACGAAAAAAACAACGATCCAGTCACCTACGCCACTAGAATCTATCCGCTAATTTATTTTCGTAGTAGGCATGCATCCAAAGCTTTGCCTGCACATGCAGGGAGTGAGCGTGTGTGCATTAATAAATTCCCCGTTATAAATGGGTCTATAAACTTGTTGTGATACGTCCGACGTGATGAACGTTCCCATGTTTTCCATTTTTATCCGGCTTTTTCCTCGGTCCTCTCGAGTTATCTGTTATAATTATACGAACGCACATGCATGTGTACGGTACGCCGCATCCCGCCCTCTCTCATCCTTAATATTGATCCTTTAATTATCATTATGATAGCCTGTAATTCGATTACTTCCCGTGATCGGATGCAAACGAAAAAAAAATGTATTGAAGCACATGCACGCATTTGTATGAAAGCACGTCCATTAAGCAATCGAATTTTAAATTGAAACGAAATGGGGTGGAGGTTCTTCCTTGCTCCCACTGATCTCCCTCGTACAGTTATCCTTGTCTGTGCA